ATAGGTATTCCTTTTTAAAAATAAGTGTTTGCCTTTTTATCTGCAATTTGTCCGACATTATGAACAAAAAACAATAAGGTGAATTTAGATACTTTATAAACGTACCGCAAGCAATGAAAATTTAGGTAGAAAAAGGCGAATTAAATAAGTGTTAAATATAAAATAAAATAAAAAACGCTTAACTCAAGTATATGACGTCCACGGGACGCTAATTAAGGGTAGAAATTTTATATATGAAAATCACTAATTTAAATAAATGCGGCTCGAAGGCCAGAAATGTGGCGGCTTGGGATTATTTTTAAATTATATAGTGGACTGTATTGATATTCAATATCCCCTGAAACGTTCAGTTACCGCAGTCACAAAATTACACCAAGAAAACAATGAAACTACTCACGGTCTTACTAGCCAGCTTCCCAAGATCGGCAAAACGTTTACAGCTCCTGGTGGCTTCTTCTACACGGTAGAATACACTAGTAATTAGATTGTACACGGTACACTCTAGATTAGTCCTTATTTTTAGTTTTTGAAGAGATATTCACTCCACGATAACACAAAGAGATATAAGCTTCTTACGCTTCCTACCCTCCACTTTTATTCCTTTTGAGTCCGCACTGATTATAGCAGCGCGTTATGCGTCACAATGTTGCCACAGGTTATCACTGGCCCTCAGATCGTTGTAGATCATTGTGTCTCGGTATAAAATTTCTCTCTCGGTTTATTACTGAACAGGTATATTATAATTTCCTTGCCTTATCTTTTTGGTCCATTCACTACATTCATTTATTGTTGAGTCTGCAGCCTTTCCATAGTATCCAACATCTATATCGATGAATCTGTAATTTGCGTCACATATTGCAAGCAATACGATGGAAAAATATTTTTTATAATTAAAATACTCTGATCCACTATGTTGAGATTTTATAACTCTATTATGTTTCCCATCGATAGCCCCAAGTAGGTTGGGAAAATTTGCGTATTTCATAAATCCTTCAGCAGTTTTTAGATGTGATTCTTCGATTGGTTCTGGCGTGCAGATGTTTTTTTTTAATTTATCCCATATTATTTTCTCTGTTTCACGGACTATAATGCCTGCCGTCGTTTGTCCACACTTAAAGTCATAGTGAATATCTGAGAAATAGCAACCCGTAGCTAAATACCTGAAAAAAATAACATTATTAAAACTTCTATTGTCATCGTAAATTTTACATATTTAATTAAAATTAACCTACAACTACTTATTTCAAATAAATTAAAATTAACCTAATAAATAACTAAACTATTGACATTATTATTGTTTTCAGTCATTGATCTTCAAAAAAAATGGAAGAGTATTAAGGACGCTTATAAAAGAGACAAAGCGAAGAACAATAACTGTTCCAGTGGATCTGGAGCTAAGCCTAGAAGACCCTACATATATTCCAATTTGCTAACTTTTTTAGACCCGCTTTACGAAATAAGATCTCCAAGTCAAAATGATGATGCAGCACTGGGGCATGACAAAGACTGTGATTTTCAAAAGCCACATTCACCAAAGAAGTCTAAAAAGACTCCAAAACATGAAGACCCACAGGACAAATTGTATGAAGCACTGACAGCAAATCTCAAACAGTCTAAAGCGAATAATACAATTTTATCTGAAAATCGCGACATACTGTTCTTAGTTTCATTAGCTAAAGATTTTTCTACCATCAAAGAGGAATTTAAGTTAGAGGCCAAAGCTGATATGATAAATTTAATTCGTAAATATAAAAATATGGGACAGTCATCGAGAACATTACATAAAAATAGATACCAAGGTGCATTTCAATATGAACATCAGTATGGATACCAGTCTGGATATCAGTCTGGATCATGATATCAGTCTGAATTTCAGCCTCAACATCCAAGTAATCAATCAGCGCCAAGAAACGAATCTGTCAGTTCACTCCAAAATTTGGATAGCAATGAATCGGTTACAAATGACTCCGATATCATATCTGACATGTATGATGATATTGAATAAATCTTTTTCTCTTATTAATAACCTAAGTGCACTTATAACATTTTACGATTGATTTAAAACTGTAACAGGTCAATAAATAAATAAATAAATACTAGTTGTTTTCTTACCTCAATGTGATGAGCAAACGTTCTTCTGCCGATATACATGATCTCATTACTGTATTTTGACGAGTTAACTCCGGTTTTAGAATCAAAAGAAGTTCTTGGAATGACGAATATGACATTCGATAACACTTATAAAATTTCTTCTATCTTCTATGTAATAGCAATTTTTAAAAAACGTTGTATGATACTGACCACTCAATCTTTTTTCACTCGTAAATGGGTCTATCCAATAGATTCGCTTTTTTTTACATTTTTTTCTTTTTAAAAGAAGTACTAAAGCCAACGTAAGAAGTGTTGTCTCAACCGACGCCATTGTACAACAGAAGGAGGAGTCACTGATCTGAAAAACGCAAAATCTACGAGCGACTACAGCGCGTCTGTATCGCTGTATCTGCGCGTATACGCGCAGAAGAGGCGCGTTTCACGATCGCCCCGTGTGCTTACAGTTACAAGGTTGCGATCGAATCTCGTTTGAATCCCGTATACGCGCGTAATCTGCGCGTCGTCTGCGCGTTTTAAATACGCCGTGTGCTATGGGCCTTAGGACCATACTTTGTGGCAATGTAGTGGAGACGTCTATGTTCATCAGTGGGCATCAAAAACAAATGTGAAAATCGGACCTAGTACAGTACAAAATGCGTTCAGGGTTGTTGGCTCCATCGAAAATTTAGTTCTGAATGATAACGGGTGGCACGTTCCATATCAGTCCCTTAAATCGTAGTTATAGGAGTGTGAACACTTCAATTAAATAAGTAGGAAATTTATAATATTCTTTTAAAATGAATTTGTAACTTGACAAGTTTTATATCCAGCAAAAAGTTAAATTTTAGCCTTGTAATAAATAATATCACGAAGTTAAACGTAATTTGTTGATTATGATTAAGTACTGTACTTGAAACTGACCATATCAAAACCACACAACCTTTGATTAACACTGACTGCCTTTACTGCCCTTTAATCTAGTGGTCGTAAATGCTGTCACGAGGTCCCGGGTCCGAATCCCAGGTAGGGCATCGAAAGGCAAGTAAAGCAGTTGGACCTGCACACGATCTCTCTACACACTATAAAACTGCTCTGTACAGATGGCTAGTCTCCGGTGAGAGTGGCCGCCGTGACCGCAATTCTGTCTGGAGAATAAACACCGAACAGCGACAATTTGTAGTTTTCCAATTTTATCATTTTTATGCGCCTAATCTACCTTGATTCCAAATTTTAAGTTGCTAAGTCACCTTAACCACCAGATGCAGGAAGTACATGGATGCAGGTGGCTCTAGACCATGCTTTGTAGCGTTTCTTGGCTTAGGCCTATGCTTTGCATTTGAGTTATGAGGGACTGTAATGAAACAGTTATTAAGCGACAAATGAGTGTATGTAAATCCGGTGGGAATAGTTTGCTGATTGAAATAATTCCGCAATTGCGTTATTTTTATTCATTAGGATAAAATTTCGTAACCTAAAAAATAAGATATTGCTAGCGCTGTAAAGTGGCGTCACATGAATATGAACTACCCCATATCGTCTCGTGGATGTCGTAACAGGCGACAAAAGGAATCAAACCAGGAGATGAGCAGTTTTTGCCTTGGTCGAACTTAGTCTTAGACCAAAAGTTAAAAGTTAAAGCCTATATACGTCCCACTGCTGGGCACAGGCCCTTATTTCTTAGAGGGTTTTAGGGCAAGGAATAATCCGCCGCGTTGCCCCAATGCGTGTTGGCGAAATTCACATCTCTTCGAAATATTTTTTTCTTATTTCTCAGACATGCAAGTTTCCTCACGATGTTTTCTTTCACCGTCGAGCACGTGGTAAATCAGCACTTAAAATTGCAACTAACAATTTCATTGCTGCCAGGCGGGGATCGAACCCGGTTTGCTTGCGTATTGTGAATATTATATAATTACAGTGAGCGCTAACCATCTGAGCTACCACGGCTTAGACCAAATTGTTGGATAATTCTTTTCCATTTCAGGGAATAACGCTTAACTTACGCGGCATTCGCAAGATGGTTGGTGATATCATAGGACGAACAAAAAAGAGAAAAATGTTATGTTGGCAGCAACCACGCATTTTTGGCGGTTCATTCGTAGAGTGCACGCGTTTCGAGAGGAGTTGTTTGCCGGCGCTTAGATACTCATCAATGCCAGACATCGAATAATTGTAAATCAAAAATATCTTATACCTACAAATGGGTAAACTGTACGATACGAGAATATAATACGATGAAGTACGATTGAAAAGGAAACCCACATATTATATTCTCGTGTCGTTTCTATTGTCTGGACCGCAATAAATGGTACTTCTGTGCTCAACGCCATGCTTTCGTCCGACGGTGATACGTTTCGCTGATAAGCTGCCGAGAAGATCTCCCTTGTAAGGCTGCTTACCCCTACATGGATATACAGGCGCTAGAGCAAGTGAGTAAACTTTGCTTATATTGTGGTGAGGAAAATTCTAGCTACAGTAGGCCGACACTAACGGGCGTTTCATTACCGTGTCAAGGTCCGACAAACGGTCGTGACAGTCTTCCTAAGACATTGTTGCTCATCTCTACAAAATCTTCATCATCATTATACAATACAAAATATATAGGACTCTAAAGTTTGATTAGACTTGAACCGTTCAAATATTAATAACCAATTCAATCATAGACTAATAAATGAAAATTTATTTATTTATTTCTCAAAGCATACTAAACTAAACAATAAAGTACATGGAGCCTCCTAGTAAGTATAAAAGAATAGCTGTGTCAGGAGGTCTTGTACATGATATAGAATGTTTTCTATACTGTGATAGTTTATTTTTTTTAGATGGTCGGTAAGTTTTTTTTTCATTTGCGATTGTCAATTAGACTATGTATTGTACTCGTATAATTATGTTATTCATTAGATATTTACCTTTTTGCTAGGGTCAGCAGGTTCCGGGTGCAATTTCATATTATGTGTCGACATATGCACCTTAAGTTTAGATTCGGAGCTAAATTCTAATGAGCAATTTTTACATACATGTCGGGTTTGAGGTTTCTGAAAAAGAAAATTGCAATAATCTAGTCAATATTTATTCATTATCACGGTGACAAGTTTTTACTCGACTTGATCCCATTTATTACCTACATGCTTCATCAAGTTGTCACACTGCACTTTTCAGTGTGAGGCTACCACTTAAAGAATTTTCTGAATGATCTTCAATTTAAATGTGGGTTGAAGTGTATCCCCACGTTAATATACTTGAGTGTTAAGGTAGAATAATGAGGCAGTCTAATTAAAGTTTTAGTACCAACCACACGTCTCCCTCATTCACCTCCTATTACAGGGTAATACAAAATATGAGTGTAATATTCCATCCACTTAGTGCTAAGGGCCGATAACGCATCTGCGTTTTTGATTCTTCGAATAGAAATGGAGAATAGATATAGAAATAGAGGGGTTTACTCCAATGGTAAATTGCATTTGCATTTGGATTCTTAATTGAGGACAAATGTGGATGTCTATGGGCCACAGATCCACTTACCACCAGTTGGACTGTGTGCTCGTTTGTCACCCATTGCTATAAAAAACATTGCACTTTCACGGGTGGATGAAGAAGTATTTTTTAGTGTCCGCCACACTAAGAACCTACCACGGCACAGAGATCAAACTCGGGTAATTAGAGTTCATCGCGAACTATTGAAATTAACGGCGATTGCTTAGCCCCTGAGCTACCATGGCTCTCTTAGCTTATTACAACCTTATTCTGGTCTCGAGATAAAACACCGCCGTGAAAATATATTAAACCAATTCAATCAAATACAAAATTACAGACTTACATTGTGATTTGCGATATGTTTCAGAAAATCTGCTATGTTAATATATGATTTTCCACAATGGTCGCATATTCGAATTTTGCGCGTATATGGATTTTTCCGTTCAATTTTTAATTTGTGCATTCTCATACAATGCACTTTCAGCCCAACAAGATTTTTAAATTTTTTATCACACATTTTACAGTAAAAATTTGTAATGTTTAATAATTTTTCAACTGATGAAGCGTCTTTTACACTATTCTTGTTTTCTGTTATATTTGTTATATTATGTTCATTTTCATTGTTTACATTCTTTACTAATTCTTCCCTCAATTCGGGTTCTTCATTTTCCTTAATTTCTTTTATTTCTATCGTAAAATCTTTTGTGGTTTTTGTGAAAAATTCTTCGAAAATATCTGTATCACCTTGCACAGTTTCAAATTTTTCAATGCATTGCCCCACTTTATGCATACTTGAATCGTCTGAGTCACTATCTAATTTATCGCCAAACAATATGTTTGTTATTAGAGGTGTTGGTGGTCCTGATACATTTGGATATACTGAAAAAATTAAGATAAGATTAAAAAGTCTATATCTAGGCTATACTTTTTTTTATTAAAACTTTATTTTGCATCTTTAAACTTTTAATTTCCATTTGTTATTTTAGTTACCAAAGAGTTGTCATTTATAACACCCCAAGTGGTACATTGTGACAAAACTTACGACATAATGTATTATAAAAAATATAACAAATATTCGGTATTAGTATATGTATTGTTTTCTTACAAGGAGGCGTTACGAGTAGATCTTCTAAAAAGACATTTTTGTTTCCCTCATTTTGTAAGGCATTTTCTAAATTTTTGTCTATTGTACATGTTTGCCCAGTCTCATCTACATTTTGTACAAGCAAATTTTCGACAACTTCCTCGACATTCTTATCTTTAACTTCACTTTTAAAACACTTCTGTGGATCGTCATAATGGGAAGTTTCATCCTGTAGTTTCTTTGGTGTGTAACATTGTTCATTATTTACATACTTAGGTGTTGAAAAGGGACTGAAACTATAAAATAAAAACTGTTATTGTTGAAACATATATAAATATAGTATAAACATTTACAATATAGTATAGTACCTGGATGACCGAGCTTTGCTCGATATTTTTTTTTTTGGAAATCGTGTGTTTTGGAAATTATATTTAGATACAAATTACATACTGATGAAATATGAATAATATTTTTTAATCTTACCGACATAATAGAAAAACTGAACTGGTTATTTGAATAAAAAATCATTTTTCACAAAAGAAGGGAACTTGATAAAAAGACATTGAAGTAATATGTACTCACGTACTAGAACAGCTATTTCAAACAAAAAAATGGGCGCTACTCTGTGTTCGTTCGGTTGGTTTTTCATCATAGAATAAACATATAGATAGAATGATCAATAGGTAATAGTAGATTGTATTGTTAAATACGTAAATTATATAGAGAACAGTTTTTAAATTTTGTCGTTTATTTTGTTAAGTTTTTATTTGTTTTTATTTTGTATATTGTATTTGCTTATTTAATATAATATTACATAATATTATATCCCAATTACATTTTAATGATATTTTTATCTCAATATTTTAAAAGGTATCTATGTCAAATATAAAAAAAACATACTAAATGTATGTTCAACAAAACTTATTAATATAACATTTAAATTACAAATGTATTTATTTAAATTAGTATATGAGTCGTTCATAAATGCTGGGCACGCGAAAGTTAAAAATGGACGAATTTATTCCACTTTGACTTTAATGTGGAAACCTGAAAATAAAATAAAAGAATAATGAGCAGATTTAAATATAAAAAACTTAGCGTAATTACGATAACTTATATATGTTTCTACAAAAAAAATGTGTATAATAAAATATTCTCCTTACACAAAATGTCGCATCTGAACAAATTGATTTCATAATCCTATATTCCATGACACGAGATGGCGTCTTAGGAATAATTTGTTTTATTATTGATATATAATACTTTTTTATTGATTAAGTATCTTATTAACCGATGAAAAGTAATTCATTGTTTTTACCGACATTTCTTTAATTATTTGTGCAATATCTATGTACACAAGACGGCATATTTTTATCAAAAGATTTTTTTAAATCAACACAACACGTGACATCTCTACAAGCGCCTAGCGAGTGACTGATTAAAGTGCGGTGTAAGCACCGCAGTTGAATGGAACAGAGTAGCTGAATGCAGTGTCGCCTCTAGTACGTAGTACATAATAGCTCAATGTAAAAAGGTATAAAGTCGGATGGAAGACAGGACTCGAACCGGGGTATTACGATTTCGGGACCGCCCGATATCCCATTTGAGCTATTATAATCATTAACGAATTGCCAAAATTTACTTTCTTATTCTAATGATATTGTAGCAGTTTTTAATTGCCTGAAAACACGGATAAAACGACACTTTCTAAAAATGAATCCTAGCTATAGTACGTTTCTAGGGCAGGCGGATAAAAGTACATTGACCTTTGACGATATCATCTGGGTAGGCAATCTTTTTTGTTTAGGCTCATTTTTTATCCTTTTATCATTACATACATCATCAGAGTAAAAGATAAGGGTGCTGAGTACGAAGTTCGAACATTTATTTACGGGCCCTATGTCTATTATTATGTAATAAAGAAAGAAGATTATCCTGTACCTACATGAGTTAAAAAGCAAATTAATACTAATTGAAGTTTACTATTTATATATCATGAGTTATTAAAATTTTCATTATTACGTTAATAGTAGGAAAGTACTTTAATAAGTAGGTAGGTAGGTATTTAGTAGGTATAAAACATAACCACTTCTTGGAAGTCAGGTAAAAAGACGAACTTTTAATGCTAAGCATTCTTAAGCAGCCAACCTTAAAGCATGCATCAAACTTCTCATAACAGATTGTCAGAGACACTTGATAGACTATTCATCTGTACCTTTTTCAGAATCATTTTATGATGATGAAGACGTAGAAGAGTCCGTCACATTGATTATAACCTAAAATATCGGCAGTCTTCTTTTTCATATCCGTTTTGGATGGATATACGTCACTACACCAAGTTTCTTTTACATATTTATAGATGTTTACAATCCTTGTTTTTTCGGTTTCCGAAATATGCGACACTTTCCGCTTCTTTCGTGGTGATGTAAAATCTTTATGAGATTTTCATGTTGATGGACCCGATTTCATACTAGTGATAATATACAAAACGTCACAAAACAATAACATATACTTTAATACAAAACGTAATAATACAACTACCAAACAAACTTAATAAAAATTAAAACAACTACTATAACTGAAAATGTTAAATCTTATACTCTACATGCAAGCGCATCCCAAAGCAGAATGAGGAATGAGTTCTGCTCCATCCGTTTTCTCAAATACGCACATCGTGAGACCTACCGCAAATCGCGTTGAAACAGGCTTATTATCTCTGAATGACCGCTTCCTTCACCCTACCCTGTACCATGAGACACGCTTAGCGCATAACGATACGTAATCTATAAAGAAATGTATGGAAGCAATAACTGTCGTTTTGTTTCGATGCTAACATAATACTTGAGGTCAATGTACTTTTTTACCGCCTGCCCTAGAAACGTACTATAGATCGATTTATTGCCCCCGAAACCCCTTAGACTTTACAATAGAAATAGAAGAAATTAAGGAAAATGAAGAACCTGAATTGAGGGAAGAATTAGTAAAGAATGTAAACAATGCAAATGAACATAATGTAACAAATATAACAGAAAACAAGAATAGTTTAAAAGACGCTTTATCAGCTGAAAAATTATTGAACATTACATACTTTGGACCTCCGGTAATCCGACAAACATTTTGCAGGGCAGTGTCGAACTATCGAATTTGTATCCTAATCCAAAATTACAGATCCAATGATAAGATTCTATAGGTTATATATATGTACTCTTAAGTACAGATCATACTTCATTATTTCAAATTTAAACTAAGCAATCATAATTAAGACAATAAATACCCTACGCTTCGAGCACAATAGTGGTGGCGCATACAAGTTACAACTTGTTCAACCATGCATTAGCAAAGAATGTAAAAAAAATATTCAATATTAAAATAAATAATAGACCATGTCAGATTACCGGGGGTGCCAGTTTAAACAGGGGCCGGATTACAGGAGTTCTTATAAGAAAAGGTATTATGTACAGAGTGGTTGTACTCCGTTCCTGCCTCGGGAGCCGTCTAGTTAGGGTGGTATCCTCTTACCTGTTTTTGTCCCCGAGCAGTGCATGCACTGATGCGTTCCAGTCAGAAGAGTACAGAGCAGGTATAATTATAAGCTGTGAGGCATTCGATCTTATTCCTGCAAACTTTTTTGATTCTTAATCGAGGTTATATTATATGGGCTACAACATTCACTTACCATCAGGTGGACTGCATTTGTTTGTCACCTTTTTTCTATAAAAAAAATGTGGTAATAAAGTATAACCATAGACCATAAACGGTTCACAGCTGGGCACAATTGGGCTTAGTCATGCTAGAGTTCTAGTATAATAAGATTATAATACTGTAATTTCTACAAATAGTTAATCCCGAAAAAGTTTGCAAATGATTAAACCAATAAACTTACCTAAAATCTAGCTTAAAATTTGAATCAATTGAAACATCATCTTGAAGCCAGTGGGAGTCTAAAGAGTCATCTAAGACATCTGCCTCTTCTTCTATCACCTCTCGTATGATGCGAGCCTCCGTGGCAGGTATTTCTTCCGATGCCATAATGTCACTTATAAAGTTTTGTATACTTGTACATGTTGATTCTAAAATATTAAAAATAGAATTTAAGATAGCTTCAAGCACTCCTTATCTTATCTATGTAAATTAATGTAAAGAATTTTATTTACTATTATTTTATTTATTCTTTATTGCATACTTTATCGATGAATTTATTTATGTGTGGTAGAGCCATGCTGCAGTTATATTAGTAGTACATTTGTAGCACGAATGGGTCGACTCGACCGGGGAAAGACCACGCTCTCACAGAATACCAGCGTCAAATAGTAGCTTAATGCTGCTGTGTTTCGTATGGTTATGTGTAGAGAACCGGAGACCCTTTTTACTGGAAACGAGGCATTCCACCTAAGTCCTCACGGATGACAACGCATCTGCATTTTTATTCGTAATCGAGGAAGGATGTAGATGTCTATGGGCCACAGCAACCACTTACCATCAGGTGGACTGTGTGCTCGTTTGTCACCCTATCCTATAAAAAAAATATTCAAATTTATATGGGGCCACTCCTTAACTATAAACAAAAAAATCATCTATATTGTTTTACAATTGAACAAGACAAGATATTGTGTAGGTTACACAATATCTTGTCTTGTTCAACATACAGAAAAAACAAACAATTGAATGGTGTACCTTCCCCTTTTTTTGAAGTCAGCTAAAATTTGATTTTCCATTGGAAACAGATGAGCATAATAATATAAAAACTTACCATTATCATCGTCCTTGGGTTTGTTGCTTGGTGTGCTATAACCCAGCATAGGTAGCCTTTAATTAAACATAAAATGATTACTACAACATTACATAGAAAACCATTAACCATTACTTAAATTACATAACAAGGGCACAAGTTTATCATATGGTTCGGTTTTTAAAAAAGAAACTTGAACTAAATAAAAACATAAATTACAAAGATAAGTATTAAAAAAGCTAATAACAAACAGCAACAAAAAAAAATCGAACGAACTGCCATCTGGCACGATCCATGAAGCATTTCTTAATCCAAAATACAAGTCACAAAACCCTCTTGCATACCACACACTTTCTCTTATCAAATTTCTTAACCTTTCATTTATTCACCCTTCATACTCCTTAATGGCCGCATTTCTTCAACATTTATTCTATTCTCATGCTTCTTCCGCCACACTAAACTTTCACTACCATACTTTAAGGAAGGAACTAACACAGCATTGTGCATTCTATTCTATGACATAATAACAATGTTTAACCCATTTCCCGTTCCATGTACTACATATAGATCATTGCTATTGTCTTGCTATTGTGTCTAACATTCGGACAGTGAAAGTGTGAAAATAGCTGATTTTGTAACAGTTGAAAAAAAGAAAGAAAGAAATAAAGAAGGAAAAAATATTCGAGACTTCAATATGATACGGGAGTCTTACTAATAAAACAGGCATTGACTATATTATACAAGTAACAGTTAGTAGTACTAGTAGTTGTATTTAGTATACAAGGCGTTCCATCTTAGTACTCAGGGGTGACCATCACATGCACATTGTATTCTTGATGTAGATGTCTATGGGCCACAGCATCTATTTAATATCAGATGGTCTGTGTGCAGGTTCGTCACCCTTATGCTATAAAGAAAAAGTATATGTATTGAATTCCAGCAAAAAAAATGGTTAACGACTCAGCATGATGCTACAGCATTGTTTCCATAGAAAATAACGTTATTTGGTCGACACCTGTGACTTGAACACATGAATAGTTGACAAACATATACATTTTATTCATGTAATATTTAATAAACAAATATCAAAACCTAAACTAAACAAATAAAGATAAAAAGCAAAATCTGATACTAAAATAGTTATAAAAACAATAGCACAACTTTTACCCTGGTGCAATTATACATTATATAAGCAACTAATTAAACAGAGTAACTATGCATATAAAAAATAAATTCAACTAGTAAAACTTCAAATAAAATAATAAATGAAAAAAAAGAAATTGTGTAGTATAATTAGCGATTATTTTAACGTGGTAGAGGCATGTTGCAGCTATAGTATGGTTGTAGCACAGATGGGTCGGCTCAACCAGGATAGTACCACACTCTCACAGTGTACCAACATAAAATAGCAGTTTAATGCCGCTGTGTTTTGTATGGTGAGTGTAGAGAACCCTTTTTTACTGGAAATCAGGTACTCCATTTCAGTCTCCAGGGATGACAATGCATCCCTATTTTATTTCTTAATTGAGAATAATGTAGACCACAGCATCTACTTACTATCAGGTAGACTGTATGCTTATTTGTCACTCATATTCTATGAAAAAAAAACCGATGAAACTTTACCCTGCAGTTTTATGTATGCTTTGGAGAAAATTCAGAGTACAATACAACACAACTTTCCAGAATTTTCACATATGAAAGGGCCAATCAATGGAGATGAGGAAACATTTTAAGTTGAAACTATGTATTACACATGTTATAGAAATAATTTATATGTAATAAAGAAAAGAAATAACTTCATAAATAACAGGCTGTGGTTCACATTCAGCAATTGTTATTAATAATAATGTTAAAAATAAAAAAACAATTATGTACAATATGGTGTGCTTATGTGGCGAAATAAATATTCTATTTCTTTCTTAATAGTACACATACACCAAAAAAAATCTAAGTAAATTACTTAAAATTACCTAAACATTAGAGAGTCATCATTATCAATATTCTTAACATAAGCGTAAAAATCGACATTTTCACCAGCTTCTTTTAATGCCTGATAGTTTTTGAATTTTCTGTCAGAATTTCTGCACATTTTTTTAAATTTACATCCTATTTTCATATTGAAATAACAGTTTTTACACAACTGAAATGTAAATAAATCATTGCGCTTAACCTGAAACATACACAAAAATTAGTTAAATTTTTTTGTAAAAGAATAACCTGAAAAACAATACCTTCTTTAATAATTTTTGACTTTCATTTATTACAGTATGTCAAAAGTCTACTGCTGAACATAGGCCTACCCCTAGAGCCTCATAGGGGGGATTTTGCCATAGTTGGCACTCTTTGCAGGTGGATTGATAACTGTGTGGCGCCGCTGTCGTCGTGCCACAAGCGAAACACATCGAAGCCTAAATTGCACTATCAAAGTTTCGAATCAAAGTCAGTATATATAGAACAGCTCCTAGAAGAATAGGTAGCAGCTGTTACTAAGGCCGTGATAGATAGCTACCATGAATCATGTCCAGAAATCACTCCACCAAGGCATGCTGAGGTAAAGCAACAGTGGTGGGGTGAAGAACTCGATAGGAACGGAACGGAACAGATAGAATGTAAGAAGGTAAGAAAAGCCCTAAATAGGGCCATGAATACCTCAATGGATGAAGACTGGCTACTATATAAGAATGCTAAGTCTGAATACAAAAAATGTATCAGGTATCGACGCTCGACTGGGTGGCGTAAATTCTGTGGCAACATAGAAACCTGCGAACAAGCAAATAGGATAAGGAATATTCTAGCTAAACAGAACACGTCGGGATCCATGTCTCTAAAGAAACCCGACGGTAGCTACTCAACATCGCCGAATGAAGCCCAACGCATCCTAATTGAAATGCACTTCCCAGATTGCTGCGTAACATAGGAGTCAAACCGGCATGATGACATACTGACACCAACAGTAGAAGACTGGAATTTAGCACAGAGAGTGGTAATGATGGACAAAATCCATTGGGCCATTCACAGTTACCTCCCCTATAAGGCGGCAGGACCTGACGGCATATTAACGGCACTCCTACAGTGGGGGGGTAAAGCCCTAATAGTCAGACTTGTTGCCATAATGAGAGCCTGTCTGGCTCCTTAAACTATGTTCCTAGGGGATGGAGGGAAGTGAAAGTCACATTTATACCCAAACCAGGTAAGAGCGATTACACTGACCCTAAATCCTACAGGCCCATTAGCCTCACATCCTTTCTCCTAAAGACGATGGAGAGGATGTGGGAAAGGGAATTAAGGGGGTCGGCGCTAATGAACTTACCACTACACGACAAGCAACACGCCTACAGTCTAGGCAAATCTACAGAATCAGCACTTTATCAGGTAATTACAAAGATTGAAGAGGAAATCCAAAACAAAGAAATATGTCTAGGTTCCTTCATAGATATAGAAGGTGCTTTTGACAGAACAAACTTCTCCAGCTTAAAAGGTGCACTCAGTAGACATAAAGTTGAACCGGCACTGATCGACTGGATAGTTTGCATGCTCAGTACACAAATAATAAAGATTGCTGGTGAATCTCAACCAATCCAAATTAAGAAAGGCTGCCCGCAGGGTAGGGTTCTCTCACCTCTCCTGTGGAATATGGTTATTAATAAACTCATCAGCAAATTAAATACTAATCACTTCTATAAAGTAGGTTATGCTGATGACCTGACAATACTGGTCTCTGGAAAGACAGCAAGCATAGTGTGCGACCTGACCCAAGCGGCTCTCCGTATAGTGGAGAGATGGTGCAGGGAATACGACTTAACCGTCAATCCAAATAAAACGGTTTTAGTAATGTTCACACAAAAACGAATGCTGAATAACTATCATCTTCCAAGTCTTTTCAGCACAAAACTCCAGCTATACTCTGAGGTAAAATATTTAAGTCTTACCTTGGACAGCAAACTTAACTGGAATAAACACATAGAAAACAAAATCAACAAAGCTAGTATAACTTTCTGGCAATGCAGAAACACGATTGGCAAAAGATGGGGACTGACGCCAAAAATCATACTGTGGCTTTACAAAACTGTAATTCGGCCCATGATCACATATGGCGCTCTGGTATGGTGGACCAAGACAAATGAAGCCATCACAATTAAGAAGCTTCAGCGCTACCAGAGACTGGCATGTATGGCTGCCACAGGCTGCATAAGAACTACGCCAACAGCAGCCTTGCAAGCGATGCTGGAGCTAACTCCGCTTCATCTACATATACAACAAGAAGCGACTTTAGCTGCCATCAGACTCAAGACCCTAAATCTTTGGAGTAAGAATAGTGTCCCTCATACAGGCATAATTGATAGAATTCACTCAGAAATTCCTATCCTACAAGCCAAATACGATAGGATTCCTAAACAATTTATTTTCGATAAGAAATACAAGATACAATTAAATGAAAACAGCCAGCCGGAAGGATTAAGCCTAAAAGAGCTTAGAGTTTTCACCAATGGTTCTAAAACAAATGAAGGTGTAGGTTCTGGAGCTTTCTCTGAAGACCTCAATATTCACATATGCACACCGCTGGGTACCTACCTATAACACGGTCTTTCAGGCGGAATGTATGGGTATCATTCAAGCGGCCATAGCAATAGATGCTAGGAAGGTTAATGACTTCCCCATCAGAATACTGACCGACAGTAGGGCGGTACTACAAGCTCTGAGTTGCAATGGGGTGAACTCGGGACTAATATATGAATGCCATCAACTATTAAATGAGGTATGTAAAAAGAACAATGTGACTCTGCAATGGATAAAGGGACACAGTGGATCCAGAGGCAACGATGCAGCGGACGAACTGGCCAGAAGAGGATCGGCTCTGGCCACTATAGGGCCGGAACCAATCATACCAAACCCCTTTGGTAACATTCGTTCATTGGTACGTAGACACTTCACTAATCAACACGCTCAGCTTTGGAAAAATCTAGTAGACAAGCTAGGGAGGCCCTACCTGAAATAAACAGTCGCTTAACCAAAGTTTTAATGAGACTGAACAAGCCGCAGATCAGGATAGTAACAAGTGCTATCACAGGACACGGCACCTTTAACAAACATTTATTTACTATAGGTGTTACAGATAGTCCCCTGTGCAGGGCATGTATGGGGAAGGAAAAAACGGCGGCCCACGTGCTACTGAAATGTCCGGAGGTCGCTACGTACAGGGCTAAACATCTCGGCACACCGGGATCACTCCCCAAAGTTGCATGCAACATCAAGGGACTGTTGAGCTTCTTCGGGGAGATCTCATGGCTCGAATAATCACATTATTCCTGCCCACACGCAAAATACGCGCATAGACGTGGAGTTGCGGAAAACAGCCCGTCGCAAACTAAACTAAACTAACTAATATAGAACAGCTCCGAACTATCACATGGAGCGTTGGCTGCTCCCCGGGCAGAACACCTTGCCCAGCAATCTACCCTTTTCCTTCCACCAACAAAACTGTAGTTTTTATTATTATTTTCAATGTATCAGAAAAGCAGTGTCCATTAATTACGTGAAGTGTTTAGGGGGAGTGGGGATGATGGGGTCAAGCCAAATCCCACCCAATCTCCTGTGAGGGACAGGGAGGGTTTGGCAAATATCTCCAATTATTTTTTATAAGAAATAGTGTAAAAATTCGGTTAAATTAAGTAAAATATAGCTAAATCCTACACAATATTTATTGCGGTTATACAAATTTTATATAAATAATTAACCAAGTTGTTTTCTTTAAATAAATGCAACCAAGCTTACATCAACCTATCTATACAAATAATAAATCTGTAGAAAAAATTGTGTGTTTGCAATTCATGGAAAAAGTGCTAGACAGATTTCCATTAAATTTTGTATGTTAGCAGTAAATAACCGTATATGACATATAGGCAATTTTTTATCCGCTTATGGAAGAATAAAAAACACACTCCATGAGATTCAATAATTCATTCATGGGGCAATGTACACAATATCACATAATATTATTATGCAAAGTCCCAGAAAATATACAAGGTCTCCCTATTAACAAGTTTAAATATTTTATGAAACAAAAACTGTATAAAAAGGGTTAATATAATATAAATGAATAAATGGTTGATAATAATTCCTGGGAATGAGGCGGTTACTTCCAATCTGTCTCAAATAAGTTTTGTAAGTAGTTTATACAGCTAGAGTTTCATTGTAAAACTTTACTTTGAAAAAAAAAGTCCCACTGGGTTTCTTAATGGTTTACAGAACAGAGATTTTTACAAACCAGTGGTAAACGTAAAAAATATTACTTAATAAGAATAATCTATAATTAATTTAAAGATAAATTTATTACCTATACTCTACACAGCAGTAGGATGTTTAAAGGCTCTATGACAGTTACCCTGAGATAGCAAGGATTGTGATAAAATGCAAGATTATCCATTAAGACAACATAAAAGAAATAAAATCAGTAATAATTTTAATAATCTCTAACTGCCTACCTGTATACCAGTAGAATACACAAATAACCTTCTATTTTTCTCAGTGTACTGTAACAACTCGGCTGGTTCATTGTATTGAATCAAACAACCCCTACAAAAGCCTTCTATTAGCATTTTGTTTGTGTTTATAAAATTAAGAACTCCACACTGTTATTGAACTTATTGTATTCAAAGACTATATTGTATACACTGTACGATATATTACTTTCCTCTATGGTATACACGGAGTAATAGTGTTCTGTGGTATTCACAGACTAGATAGAGAAACTGACGTTTAAGCAATGACGGGTGAGTGACATTGACATCACTTAATGGCGCGCAACATAAAGATATAATACCTATGGAGGCGGCGTATTCTACTATAGAAATAATAGTTAATACAAATATCTATAATATCGACACACACTTGTCAAAAATATTTTTGTTTCTTTTTAACAAAGCAGTAGGTTCTTTAGAAAAGGGAGACAACAACAGTTTGTAAATTGCTTATATTGACAACACTTTCGTGTGACGTCATTAGCTCATCCATGCGTGACTGCATCGCCATGTTAAGCGCTGAGTTTTGTGGTAGATCTGCTGTCAAACTGTTGAATGCTAAAAGTTTTTTTGTTGTGTAGTGCAGTGCCTTCATCTTATCTTATGGTAGGTGTTTTTCTTCTATTTATATTTTATTATGTCAAATAAGTGTCTTACAGTTTATTTCAAGTGTTATGGTAGGGATGTATTTTTTAATTATTACTTTATGTAAGATGCATAATTTTGTAATATATATACCGCTAAGAAGTTTTGTAATTATTAAAAATCACAGTAAATATATGTTTGTCGCTACCAGTTGGGGGAGAAAAAACAAAAATTTTCAGGAGTGGTCTTCAGTACGCCTCTATTAGAGTCGTTATTTAAATTGTTAAAAAACCTTATCAATTGCTGTATTAGAATATATTGCGGTATTTGTGGCAGAAAAATGTTCAGATACCATGCAAGAAGAAGCAGTGACAAACTGTCATATAGAAATTATACTAAAAAATAATTTTGTTCAGAAATGAACAAATAATAATAATAATAATAATAGTTTGTATAAAAATCTATCATGATCATGAAACGGTGGATGAAATATTATATCCAGGATGTTATCCTGCATATCATATTTCGTGATCATGCCAGATTTTCAAATTTTTTGAAATTTGGTAATATTTTTCATTTAAAATCCGAATGAATAAATAAAATATGATATACAACTTGCTTGTATAACTTACTATTTGTGATGAATTATGTACAGAAAAATTAATAATAAATAATTATTGATTTTTAAAACAGTTCATTTCATTTTTACTCAACTAATCATTATTATTTTAAATTAATAATATGGGATCTGGGATCACCATCCCAGTAATACTTTCAACACAAAAGATGGATTTAATTTCTATCTACACAAAAGCCATAAATCAGTCAGTCACATTTATTCGCCAGATATTTAGTTATTTGACGATTGAATATTCAGCCCTATATCTGTAAATACCTACGGAATAAAGTAAATTAAGCAACAAATCCAATTATATAAAATGAGAAAAAAATTCATATTCGTTAAAATATCGATATCAGCTGCGCATATTGCAGAGTTACAACCCTATAAAAGGCGGCCATTTTATGCGTTAGATTTTTGTAGGTAGTCACGCTAATTTTGTAGGTATGCCTAGTCCATATACTTCTAAGTCAGTGGCGCGCAAGGCGTTTGCGGGGGTGAAGAAGGCTAAAGAGGCTAAAAGTAGATTTGGTGTATAAGTGTCGTTGTGTTTTTGGCTATTTCTTATTCTGAGAGCTGTTGAATTACCTTTTTTTGTTTATTATTTCTGTTGGTGTTGGTTTTAGTAGTTATAAATCCGTAAGTGTTTAGTAATTGTGCCGTTTTATATGTAATTAGTTAAAATAAAATGGAGGAAGATCCTCCCGATCCCGACGGGGTTCCATGTGACTCCCATACTGGTACGGGAAAAAATAATAATATTCCTATCGAAATTGATCAGTCGAAGCGTAAAAGATTGCAAGCAACCAATAACTCAGGTCATCCTCAGAAAAGATTAATTACAGATCCATCTCAACCTGTTCCATCTATTCAGACCTCTTATACCCACCCTGAATACATAGAAAAAAAAACATAAATATTCTAATAACGACAATGCGCCGTTTATTGTACATGTAAGTAAGAGAGTAGATGATTTATCAACTGGAGTAGTTTTAAAACCGATAAAGTTTGGTTATTTTCTCTACCATAATAATATTAAAAATGTTGTAAGTGATGGTGTTAAGCGAGTAGGACGCAATAGAATTTCAGTCGAGTTTAAAAGTGCAGCTGATGCAAATTGTTTTATTGAGAACCCAGCCCTTGCAGGTGCTAAATATGATACTGTTACCCTTCTTATAATGTCACACGCATGGGAATAGTGAGGCAGGTCCCTGTAGAATGGACATTAGAGGAACTCATCTCATCAATCGAGGTCCCAGCTGGTTTTGGCTCAATTATTAAAGCTCGCCGATTTAATAGAAAGTCAGTTAATGAAAAGCAAAGCACTGTGTGGATTCCCTCTCAAACAGTTGTTTTGACTTTTTCCGGTCAGAAACTTCCTTCTAACATTTATTGTTTTTTTACCTCAATGCCTGTTGAGCCCTACATTTTACCTCTTATTCAATGTCACAAATGTTGTCGTTTTGGGCATGTAACCTCACAGTGTAGGTCATCTTCCCGGTGTTTTGTGTGTGCTCAAAATCATGAAGGAATATCATGCACAAGACAGTCTCCCACGTGCTTATTTTGTTCAGGATCTCACACAGCTAAAGATCCTTCCTGCCCTGAACACTCTAGACAGAGATCTATCAAACTTACCATGTCACAGGAAAATATTTCCTATCTAGAAGCATCTGCCCGTTTTCCTTATGTCCGGAGATCTTATGCAGATGCTGCTAGAATCCTTCCTTCGTATGATCATCAGAGTCCCTATCCTATTTCAAATTCCCCTTTACCTTCAGTTGTCCCCTCACAATCTCATTCTTACAGGAAGACTACATTTACTCCAAGACTTCCGCCAAATCCAGCATCAAGTCATGGATATGATAAATCTGCCCACGAGGCAATAATAGATACCCCTTCTTCTTCAACTACTAATGGTTGTGCTTTAATAGGGCGGAGTATTTCCCCTAATGACAATCTCTGTGAGTTAATGATCTCCATGCTTATAAGTATGCTTTCCCGTTTCAGCGATATGGATCTCCCACTTGACCTCCGCCAAAAACTTACTGAGCTCACCTCATTAACAAATAACCTTCCCTCCAATACTTCAGTGGAACTGCCGGAGCATTAATAATAAAAAAAATGAATTAATTTACCTTATTAATAAATACCATCCCCTCATCCTAGCCATTCAAGAGACATGGCTTAAGCCTGGGTCCCATTTTAGGATTTCAGGTTATTCATGCCTCAGGAATGATAGGAATGATGGTCATGCTGGCTCTTTCATTCTTATCTCAAAATCAATTACTTATACATTAATTTCCCTCCCTTCTCATAGTCCTTCAATTAATGTTGTAGCAGTTAGAGCTCATAACACTTCTTTTCTTTCTATTTACATTCCCGAACCTAGTTTAAATGTTTTATCAGAACTTACGAGGATCATATCCTCCATCCCGCCTCCTATGGTAATTCTTGGTGATTTTAATATGCACCATACTTTATGGGGCTCCCATTTTTGCGATCCCTGGTCTTCTACATTTTTAGACATCATTGATGATTTAGATCTCTGCCTTCTTAACGATGGTTCACCTACACGTAGAGTATCCCCCCTCCAAAATCCTAAAAGTGCAGTAGATCTGTCACTCTGTTCTCCTGCTCTGTCGTCCCTTCTTTCTTGGAGAATATTACCCTTTTCCCATGGCAGTGATCATTTCCCTATTGTTATCAATCCCCCCTAGCTCCTATACAGTCAATGTTCCATTCAATCCTAGGTTAAAATATAACACATCCAAAGCAAACTGGCAACTATATTCCACAGTTCTAGAGGAAGAACTTTCAGCCCTTCCTCCTGTTCAGAAAGATAATGTTCTCCAGGTGTATGCTTCTTTTAAAAACGCTATTTTATCTGCTGCCAATAAGACAATTCCCATCAAAAAACCTTATAAAAATAATGCCCCTTCACCACCTTGGTGGGATCAAGATTGTTCTGTAGCATGTAAGAAGAGAAAGGAAGCTGAAGTAAGATATTCATACTCTATGAATTTTGACAACTATATTTTTTATAAAAAAAACTGCTGCTGAAACATTAAAATTATTATCCGGGAAGAAAAAGGCTGGATGGCTTAAATTCTGTGAGTCACTGTCGCCTAGGACCCATCCATCATTAGTCTGGAAAAATATAAAAAAAATTCCGATGTTCAGTTTTGGCCCCTGAAAACACAATTTCTAATGATCAGTCTTATTGGCTAGAAAATTTGGCTAGTAATCTTGCTCCTCCTTCAGTACCATCTTACAACGAATGTATAGCATTTCAATCACAGTCCTTGCACTATCAACACAGTTTTGACTCCCCTTTCTCTTATGAGGAGTTATATGCTGTTCTTAGTGCCCTTAAAGACTCTTCACCAGGAATTGATGGAATTCCTTATTCTTTTATTACTAATAGCAGTGAACCTATTAAAGTCCATCTTCTTTCTATTTTGAATTGTATTTACATGTCTGGTATTCCTCCAGAAGAATGGAAATCCCAAGTTATTTTACCTATTTACAAACTAGGTAAGCCTTACACTGATCCCTCAAGCTACCGCCCTATCGCTCTTTCTTGTACCATGGCCAAAATCCTTGAACACCTAATAAAAAATCGTTTAGAATGGTTTCTTGAAAGCAAACGCCTTCTAGCAACAAGCCAATTTGGATTCCAAAAGGGCTTAAGCACCATGGATAGCCTTGGTACTCTAGTTACTGATATTCGTTTAGCTAACTCTAAACATGAATACCTTGTTGGAGTCTTCCTAGATATCGCGTCTGCATATGACAATGTACTTCTTCCTGTGCTCAGGCAAAAAATGCTCAATCTGAGTATTCCAGTGAGGATAGTAAATTTTGTCTCTAA